GGTCCTCCCCACCCCCCGCATCAGCAGCAGCGCCCTCCCCTCGCACCGGCAGCCCCATCCCAGCAGCAACAGCAGCAGCAGCAGCAGCAGCAGCAGCAGCAGCAGCAGCAGCAGCAGACCTCGATGTACTTCTTGGCGTTGTCCCAGGCGCCCCCCGAGTTGGCCATGGAGACCGCGAGCTGGAGAGCAGCAAGGAGGGCCCCCGCGAGAAAACCCGCAGTGCACTTCTTGCCAAAAAGGGCCCCCAGCAGCAAAGGGGACAGCAGCACGAGGGCCCCCGGGGGCCCCATTTGCTGCAGCGAGGCCCTCGTGGAGATGGCGATGCAGCGGGTGTAGTCGGGGTCTTGGGCCCCGGAGACAATGCTGGGGAACTGCAGCAGACACTCTGCTGCTACTTCGCTTGCTGCTGCTGCTACGCTCCGCAGCGTCAGTGCAGCAAACCAGTTTGCTGCTGCTGCTCCCAGCAGCAAACCCGCGAAGCCCCACGGCTCCAGCGCGTCCACTGTACGTACACCCGCCCGCGCAGCAAACGCACCCAGCAGCGCCAGAGACACCAGAGCAGCAGAACCGATGGCGTAGCCCTGCAGCAGCAGCAGCAGCAGCAGCAGCAGCAGCAGCAGCAGCAGCAGCGGCAGCAGCAAGAGTTTTGAGGCAAGTGGGGGGACGCGGTTTCCATGCCAACCGCCAGGCTGCGACGTGCGCGAGGGCAGCGACAGAGATATACTCCTGCTGCTGCAGCAGCAGCAGCAGCAGTAGCAGCAGCAGTAGCAGCAGCAGCAGCAGCAGTAGCAGCAGCAGCAGACGTAACGTCTGCTAGAGCAGCAGCAGCAGCTGCTGCAACAGCTGCTGCAGCAGCATCAGCAACAGCAACAGCAGCAGCAGCGGCAGCAGCAGCAGGAGCAGCTGCAGCAGCTGCAGCAGCTGCAGCAGCTGCAGCAGCTGCTCCTGCAGCAGCTGCAGCAGCAGGTTGGATACTGATGCCGGTAAGCCCGAGGTGTTTGGTTGAAAAACACTAAAAATGAAGTTTTAAATATGATGAACTAATACTCCACTTTTATTCCCTCTCTCCTCACCGCGAGGGTTTAGGGTTTAGGGTTTAGGGTTTAGGGTTTAGGGTTTAGGGTTTAGGTTGAATGCATTTGCATTGCTGCCAGCAGCTTCACTAGCGCCCTTCACCGGACTCACTAAATTCAATTCTGCTAGGGCTTGAGTCTACTGCTACAACTACGCTAGGGCTTAGGGTTTAGGGTTTAGGGTTTAGGGTTTAGGGTTTAGGGTTTAGGGTTTAGGGTTTGCACCTTCCCCACAGCAGCCGTCGTGTTCCCCGCTGCGTCCAGCGC